CCCCAACCCATTCACTAGTTGCATGTGGAGTAGGCACCACCCGTTGCTAGGAAGCAGGTAAGTGCGCAAGTGACCTAAATTTTTGATGCTAAGTGCGCAAGTGACCCAAAGTGCGCAAGTGACCGAAAAACCCAGTGCGCAAGTGACTGCCCGGCCCCCCTATATTATCCGCTAATTACATGCAGCTGTAAATCTCAAGAACCAATGCCGTAGTGCAAAACCGTCGTTCCTAAGATGGCTTTGAGGGGGAACGTGAGGGGGCCTCCGCGCCACTGACCCACTCGCCTCCACTGGCCTCCACTCGCCTCCGTGGCCATCGTGGCGAGGCCTTCGCTGCCTCCGCGCCCATGTCGGCCTTGATGTCCTCAGGCGGGGTCGAGCTGCGCAGCTCCCAGCGGAACTCGTTGGGACACAATGAGACCGGAACAAGAGCAAGAAGTGAGAGATAGGCTGGAACTTACATCCTCAGTATGGCAACAAAGCTGAGAGAGACAACTCTATGGACTTTTGGCGTGTTTGATTTTGGATGGCCGGCGGGTCCCTGGGCAGGGCAATTGATCTTTAGGAAGCTGAAAGGGTTTTCAATGAGCCATCCAAGTCCACTCATGGGTGTGTTTCTGTTTGAGTTGGTGGGACCCTCCACTTCATCAATCGATTTACGCATGCAATTTTTGCTCGATGTTCCAAGGCCAGGAAACCGTAGCAAGCACTTGGCTTCAAAACCTGAGAGGTGTGAATACATGAACAATCATGAACACGTGGGAAGACAACAACAACTCTCAATGTGTGTATCCGACATCCGACATATCCTTTTTGACAGCTTTTGTTTTGATGATCTTTGTGATGTTTGAAGCTCCCACATTAGCAGCAGGAGACTCATCTCAAAAAAGTATCTGTTGGCTTGGCATCGGAGGAGACGCCCAAATGGATCGAAAAGCGAGCAGCGCTTGATCTATATGTCCGTGTAGCCCCAGCAAGTTTGGAGAAACACACACAAACAATAGGCCTTAAGTTTGTGTTGTTTTTTGTGGGAGATCACCCAAAAGTAGAGGACTTTGCTTGGTATCACACTTACCAAAACGGCCTCGGCACGCAGCGGACGAGGCATTGTGGACAGCAGTGCGCCCATTGATTCGCCCTCCGTGGCGGCCAGGGTCCCAGAGGGGCCCAGAGGGTCACCGGTCCGTCGCAGCGGGTCCTGTCCCAAAGGGTAGCATAGCAGAGCCGCTCAGTTCCACAAAAATCCACAAAATACAGAAGGTATACGGTATATACGACGGCATATTCTGGGAACATGTGGGAACTCTCCCAACCAACGGCCTTCATTTAGTTGTCGCTCTACCAGGGATCGTGGGGTGGTCTCCCCTTTTGAACACAGAGTTGGCATTCCAAGTGTTCATAGGGTTTGCTGCAGGGTCAATGTGGGTGAGATTATCTTTTCCACATTGACCCTGCTTGAGAATCCGCATCACTTCTAAGAAGCTGTGAACGGGGTGGGTTGGGAGGATCCAACCACCTTTTTCAGGAAGCGGTGGCAGAAGCACCAAGCCCAATCCGCCCATTCGCCGTAGGTTCCAACTGAGTTGCCAACCCCCACGCTCTCTGGTGAGGAAGAGGCACACTCGGAATGCTTCGGGATGGTTTGGGGGTCTGCTGTCACAATCCGCTTTCAGGGCAGCCTGATGCAGCATGCATTCAATACAGCTTTATTCCACAAACATGGAATCGGAAACTTTCACAGAAAGAGAGGTTCCTTTCAAGCTGGGTTTGCGTGGACCTTTTCACCAATTGTTGTTCTTGAACCAGACCAAAGACCCTGTTTTTCTGCGTTCACGGCATGCAAGGGCCCCCCCCACCCAGGCCAAGGTAAGGCTTGGAGACAGCTGCCATTGTTCCTGTAATGAAAAAGGATTGATATGTGTTCCTATGGTCCTAAAGCAATTTGAAAGATGTTCAATCTCAACATGTTTCATGTTTTTGCTAATGAGGGAATCCATGGTCGTTCTCACTGATCCAAACGCATACGGACTGAGTAGGCGTGATTTGTTTGACCAGAGGGATGCTTGGCTTTATAAAATGTTGAAATTGGCCACTGCGTGAAGATCAAGGACTCTGGATCAATTTGATCAATTTGCAATCTCTGGGTGATTGGACTTAGGTCGAATTTCAGTGTATATGAAACCAAAGCAAATGGCACAATGAACACCTGAATATGCCAGCCAAGTACCTCCCATCTGGGCGTGCCTGCTCAGACTTGTGTTGAAAGTGGAACCTGATATTGCACAGCCAAGCTGCTGACCCTCCAAGGTGTTCTAGCAGTCTCGAGATGGTTTGGTTGGCTTCACCAATGCCAACATTTACTTTGGGATGACTAGAGCATTCTCCCAAAAGCCACCACATGAAGTTCAAATCCATCCTTGATAATTCAACATGTGTTCCTGTTCCACAGTTCTCGATGTTGACTGATTCCCCACTGACCGCGGGTGTGATCTCATGACACGCACTCAGAGGGCCCCTTTTGCGGCCGCTCGCTTAGGCTCGAGCAACTCGAGCGGCCCCTTTTTCCAACGCGCGCGGTCGCGGTAGCAACTTCGATGCCCACGGCGAACGTCGTGGGTTTTTCGACGTGATGGAACTGTTAGACTCGTGAGCCTGAGAGCTGAAGAGCCGAGCCGGATGCTTGGTCAGATGCTACATTCCTGATAATTCTATATAATCCTTATTATACCATATATGGAAATGCATGTGTACGGGGAAAGCTGAAATTGCCGGCAACATCAGTGGGCATCGAAGTGTTTTGTTTGTGTTCCACCCCGCCTGCAGCCGAGGGCTCTCCGTGCAAGTGTTCACCAGACCTTGTCGTCCAAAAGAAGTTGGCAAAGGAAGGAATATCGATGTCGATGTGTTTGCCCAAGAGTTTCTGAAACCAATCGCCAGTGCAATCTTCATTGGTCCTTTCAACCGACCCTGGAGCCTTTGAGGACACTTCGATGAAGCCACTGCCGCAGCCGCACGGCTTTCCGCTGCCGAAGTCCAGTGGCATTCTTTTTCCTGCGCCCGGCGTTGTGGCACGGCGAACGATCAAGGGCGGGCGGGCAGGACGTCAATGGTACAAGAATATGGCCTTTGCCCACAAACCTCTACAAACCACCTGCAGAAGAACTTTTGGTAAGAAGACACATCATTCACTATCATTCACCTTACATTGACAGGTGTAGCCTCCTCACAGTCTATATATTGAAATATATTCAAAGAGCAGGTTGGTGAGCTAGAAGGTGATGGAACATTCTATATATTATATGACAATATATGATGCGTTCCTTGCTGCAGATCCTGCAGTTCCTTTTTGTTTTCATCAGCGGTGAACGTCATGGTGGTGATGTGTTGGTGTTTGATGTATGATGTTGGTGTTCTTATTGTTGTTGTCGTCGGCGTTGTCATTGTTGTCGTCGTCGTCACTTTCTGACGTGAATAGATATCACTTCAAGTTACGAGTTTCCCACCAGTGACAGTGGCCCACTCGTTTCGTCACATCTGTCTGGTACCATCCCACCTGGCACGGCCGCTACCACGACGGGTCACTTCAGGTCAACGGCTACGGCACTCCCCACCCGCTCGGGGTGAACGCTGTGAACGCCTGGCCGAACCCATGGAGAGCGATGCCGAATCCACGGGCTCCGGGTCCGCCACCGTCGCCCAGACGCGGAGGAACAGTTGGTGTTATTTCTCTGTGGTTGGTACCCTTCATATCCCTTCATTGTATAATACCAAATAAGAAATTCAAAACACATCATCTGAACCAATGTTTCAATGTAAATATGTTTGATCGGTCAGATTCCGATGAGGTCAGCCGCTCTCAGCTGTCCACACTGTGGGAATGTGTATGCCGGCGACTCCCGCTTCTGCCGAAAGTGTGGGAAACCCCGTGCGATGGGAGCGGCAAAGCTGGGACTGGTGCCCGGGCAGATTGCGCTGGCACCACCGCAGACTGGTCTTCGACTGTCCAAGTCCACTGGGCACTTGCAAAAGGAGATGACTCAACATGCTGCTGGGTCGAATGAAAGTTGCAAATTGAGACTGTCACTGTGGGGTCAGGTTTGGCTATAGGGCATTTTGTTGCCCAAACGGTTAATTTGCACTGACTCGGCCCGGCAAGTAAGTGGGCGCAGGGCTGGCCGCAGATCCACACCTGTTAGACAGCACAGGAAGCTGCTGAAAAAGTGTTTCAGCATATAGTTCCAACACAATCGGAAGCTACCCAGCTTACCCCCACTTGAAGGTCTTGTGGTTGCCTACACGGGTTGCCCCCCCAGTTCTTTTCAAAACAAAGATGTGTTGACAAGGCGGGCTGAATCCATCCGAATGCCAAGTTCAACAGAAGCTCTTGATCGACCAACCATTTGGACCCATTTGGTTGGGTTGGTACCAAGGGCTGCCCTACCCTGAAATTCAAGATTCAGCCATGAAACCTATCCTCCGTGGCAAGTGTTATTTTTCCCCTAATGGATGATTATCAAAATCCTTTCTTGGAATTATACACAACAAGACTTGATGCCTTTTGCACTTTGTACATCCACTTTATGTTTCTATTTGCCAACCATCCTCCCCACATGTGCTTGTCCTTTCTCCAAGTGCTTGGTGATCTCAGGGTGCGGTTGGTCCACGCTCGATCTCAGGTGGTCTCGCGCCAAGCCTCTGGGGCCGGGGTGGTCACCCGCCAAGCGTCCGGTCCGACAACGGCATGTTGCGTACAGCGACCAATGCCCTTGGTGCGCGAGGCAGCCACAAGTGGAGCGAGATGAGATGGGAAGAGTTGGAGTCTGAAATTACTTTATAATGTGTTGACTTGAAGTGAGACTTTGCCATGCATTCACGATCATATATAATGATTATTAAATGATCGTTAATATTGTTTTGTTTTGTTTCATATCTGCTGAATTTGTAAACAGGCTGTCACCATGTTGTATTTCTTGGGAACAAAGACAGACGTTCTTGGCACATTCAAAAGAAGATCACGCGGAAACACCGCGATCTGCTCAGCAGGTGGTTGAGCTGGCCACTTCGGCTGCAGCTCCCTCCGTGGTCACCTCGCCACTGGCGGAACGGCGGCGGTCCTCGGTGGTGCTGAGAGAAAAGCCTGAGATCCAGGAGACGGTGGGTCGAAGCCTACAGACTAGACCAGGTCTAACGGCAGAACAAAAAAGGTAAGAAAGACATGAAAGCACCAGTTGGCATAGAGAACATGTTTTAAATCGTGAGATGCCTCAGATGGTTCGGTATTCAGTTTATTTCCGGAACGTCCCAAAACCAACCAATCACCTCGAAGCAAGCCATGAACTTGTCACGCATGGCCTGTGACTATCCCAGCGCGTCCCCACATTGTCTTATGTCATCTACAGCAGCCTAGACTCTTTCCATCCCCTAGCCAACATAAGCACATAGGTTCACGGATCACACATAGATACAGTTAGATACATCATCGGTATTCCTCTATATTATACCAGTTGTTGGAAACCTCTGTGTGTGTGACAGCGTGTGTTGGAACTGCAATGTTGTCCCCTTCCAACCTCAGCTGACCACGCAATGCATGTGTCACTGTGGATCGATGCGTTTCAACTTCACACGAACTGATATCAATTCATTGGACCCCAAGTGATGGATTCAAATCGACCCAAAGACCGCGATGGCCGCAAAAACGGTGACGAACTGATCATGCTTTGGTTGATGGCCGACCAATGATTGTGGACATCCGTTGCATGATTTCCAAAGATTTGGGGTTCGGATGCCCAGGAGGTAGAGAAGGTGGTCGAGGTGCCGACCATCGCCTTGACTGAGAACCTGGTGGAGGTTCCTGTCTCCTTGGTTCACGAGAAGGTGGTGGAAGTGCCAGAGGTGCAAGTGCTTGAAGCCTGGAAACAGAAAAATAGAATGTTAACGTGGACGTTTTCTGTTCACATGAGCGAACCGGAATCATGTTGAATTAGGGATGCTTTTGAACGGATTTACCCATGTGAGGGTATTTGCATGGATTTACAAGCCTCTTCCAAACTATCGTTTGTACTTTATGAGTCGCGGTGTTTTTGTTGCAGCGCCTAAGATTCGTGATTATGTATGAATTGAATAATGAATGATGGGTGTTGTTGGTCTTGATATGTGTTGATCCATATACCCATAATATCCCATAATATTGAAGTGAGTCAGAACTGATAAACCACACTATCCACACTCTAACTGGAAGGACAGCGAACATCGACATCGTTGGTAGCAGCAACTTCCTTCGAGTTTCGGGTTGCTTCCAGCTGGAGAGAGTGAAGTCATTTGAAACCCATCTTCGTTCGGAGCCACTTTGGGGATCCCCTTGCTGGCTCTTCTCCTGTAATAACGCCCGCTTCGCTTGCTTTGCCCGCTTCTGGTTGTTAACCATGGTGAAGCACTGCACGGTGCGGGCCGTTGGGTTTCCCGGAACTCCCCGAGAATTTGGGGAAGCCGTCCAGAGGCTCGAGCCATCCAGTGCCCCCCATGATGTTTCGTGACGTTGGTTTACTCCGCCCGGTTCCGCGTTTTGTGAGCAAGGAAATCATGAAGCAAGTTCCAAAAGTGGAATATCAGGAGACCCGGACACGGAGGCTCCCCGCTACCAAGTCCAAGTTGTTCTGAGGCCCCGCAACTGAACAGACCAGCACAGAAAAGTGTTTACCTGCGATTCGCGTCTTTGGGTCCTCCTCCTCGAACTCCAAAGTTGACCTTCTCATTTGGTTTACCGACCTTCATATGCAGGGACAAAGGAGGAATCGAAACGATGCCACCCGTTTACAGCGCTGAAGGCTTAAGATCTGTTCGATGTTCAGTCATGTTCAGTCGAAACCGGGGGTTTTCTTGGAATGAATGGAAGCTTCTCGGTGGTTCCATGGCGCGTGGCACAACGCGTTAGTGGCCAGGAGAGAGTGGTGCAGGTGGAGAAAGTGGAAGTGGAAGGAAAATACCAAGAAGTTCATGTCCCTCAGGTGATGCATCAGGAACACTGGGCGTGGGCGAGAACATGGGTGCAAGTATCGGTTGCACCATGTTCGGCAGTTCAGCAGGGATATTTCTGAGATCCCGTGTTGGCGAAAGATCCCCAGGCAAGTGAACATGAAGCAGTTGGAGCACCAGTAGATTGTTGGTAGGTGCTTTGTAGTTTTGGACTTGCTAAGAGTTGAGAATTGTAAGATTACTCTTCCCGACATGGACCGCAAGCTCACAAGCACAAGTACAAGTAGGCCTTTTAGGTTGTAAATGAGCACTGGTCGTTCAGTCGGTACTCCCAAATGTGTTGAACATAGAGATGAAAACTATCCCCCATTGCAGGAATATATGCATAGCTGCATAGCTGGGACTGGTGGATGTCCAACTGTGGCTCGGGATGAGTCACCCCCCCTTAGGAAAAAGAACACCTCTGTGCTTTTTCTTGCTCTCACATGTTGAGTAGCCCTCAAGCTTGGTGTTGCTTGGCCCAAGGCGGCCCCCCAAAGAAGACCGGACCAAGTTGTTGAAGCTTGCCCCGCCCGGGCACATGCATATGAAATGCGTTCCACGAAGCGTGTGCACGTGAAACGTCAGGAGTGTTTGGTGGAAAAGCCTCAGCTCCAAGCGATCGACCTGCTGCGTGAGGTTCCCAAAGTGCAAGTGACACCAAGCAGAAATTTGCGTGCGATTGCCATCTCAGTTTGCCACACAGACACACAGGCTTATTGCGGTAAGTTTGTTGCGTTTTTTGAAGAAATTGCCGGTAAGAAGCACCGAGGATGGGTGGGGTCCATATCAAGATCCTGCAACAAAGAAGGTTCCGTTTTGATTTGATGGTGTCTCAACGCAAAACCTTCAAACCGCTACGCACATGACATGGGATCTAATCACCGTTTAAATCCTTTTAAAGAATGTGGTCTCAACAAGTGGTGGAGAGGACCTTGCTGCACCCTCTACAGTAGAGGCCCTCTACTAGTTGAAGAGCAAGAAAATGACCCTTGGCCGCCCTTGGCCTCATGACAAACACCCAGGGGTCGACCCGGTTCAATGGGTGCGTCCTACTCTTTTGATCTCTTTTTTAACGTCGCCCATTGGACGACGTTCTGCATGGAACAATGCAGAGGTTCTGTCGTTGGTCCGTGTGTTTTTGTTTGTCGTTCTTTTCACTCGATTGCTGTTGCCATGCCGCACCTCCTTTGCTGCAAAAAGACACAACCCAAGGAAGCGTACAGCCAAGCACTTCGCCAAGCCGATGGTGCAGTGGAAAGAGAGCATCCGCGAGGTGCCAGCGACCACGGTGAGGGAGCAACTGCAAGAGGTGCCACTGAAGAACCTCGTGGAGGTGGTGAAAGAGGTTCCAAGGCCGGACCTGGGAGGAGCCGGGAGTGAGGAATAGTGATAGAGAGGGCACGGCGGGCTGCTTGTTTGACGGAACTGTGCTGAAGTCTGAGAACGGAGCTCTGCTTGTCTAGGGGTGCATTTCTGGGTTGAGAGGGCGATATTTCTAGTAGCTTCTTGCTACGTACTATTAGCTTCTTGCTACTAGTAGTACGGCCAGGAGCCCCTAGTAGCGTCCTTGCTCCTAGTATGCCAGGAGCCCCTAGTAGCCCTTTGGCCTGTGTGAAGCTTTCTGGCAGAAGTTTCCTGAGTCTGTGTTTATTCTCTCTCTTGGTCCCCTCGGTCGACAGAAAGTTTGACATTTGGATGTCGCTGGGTTCCGCAACCCGCAAGAGCGAAGACGGGTCTTCATTGGATTGAAGATGTAAGAGGAAAGGGGATTTTCCCTACTCAACAAGAGATGTCCTGGGCGAACTTTAGATGAGACACATACATGTTTCATGGATCTACTGGACTTGCATCACTGCTGGACATTGTGTTTTCTTGTGTGCCAAAGTACACCAGTGCAAACCAAGGCACTCCTGGTATCCACGAGACGTCCAGACAACGGTGCCAGATGATACATGTGCAGTAGAATCATCACATTGTACGCAATGAAACAACGCCTTTTGAAGAATAATATAGGTGTCCAAATTTCTGGCAGGTGCTGGCACCATAGACTTTCCTAAGGTGCGTCAGTTCATGCGGTAGTTGTTGACTGTTATCAGCATGTAGATAATATAGGAATCTCTCATTTTCCCAGACCTCTTAGTACACCTCTAGTCATCTCTCTATTCATTGAGAGTTAGTTCCAGTCTCCAGTGGCTCCAAAGACCACCCGCCGAGGCCAGAGCTCCAACGGATTGAGCGCACGGTCGAGGTACCCACGATCCAATTACAGGAGCGTCTGGTGGAGGTTCCTGCGGTGGACATCTGCGAAGAACCTAAAGAAGTGCTGAAACATGGCCATTGGTGGGGTAGGAGGGTGACTGGGTGATGGGTGGGAGAATGCGAAGATTTCAGGTGAAGATTTTGGAGGTTTGGCAATTCCTTGTCATTGATTGGGCGTTTGGACTGAAAGTCAGTCATGCAACAATGTTTGATTTTGTTACGTTTGATCGGAGGTTTTGGTCGAGTCCAGTCGGATATGCCCACATTTGGAGCCTAGGCGCAGTCACTGGAGTGCTTTCATGGGGGGGTATGTGACGGTATATGAATGTTTTGACCCACTGCATAAATTGTCCGGGATTCCTGAGCTCATGTTTGGCAGAAATTGCAGGTAAATACTAGCCAGTTTCCTGGGATCATGCACCTGGTTCTTCAGTTCTGAGTTCTGAAGAATTGTGGTTGCATCAAGGTTCAACTATCCCAAACAGTCTGAGGTTAAAGCACTGTATAGCCTTAGCACAATTATGTAGTATGGACCAACCATAGATCCACCTTGACCCTTTTTTTACCACTCCAACCTATGCATTGAAACAACCTCCTCCTTCCAAGTAGTTGTGCCATGTTCTGCCGATCTCAGGAAAGTGGAGTTACGTGAAGTGGTGCGACAGGTGCCAAAAGTGGAGGCACCAGCTATCTGAACATGGAGATGGGGAAACCAATCATCTATATATGCTTTGGTGACAAAGTAAGGCTCATTGTGTCCACGACTTTCTCGTAATGGGGATGCACTTTCCATGTAACTTGGGAGTCACTATAGCAGCTATAGCATTTGCGACTGACCATCACACCTTAGGCAAGGAATGTGGCTCAATTGTGGCTCAATCCAACCGCCGCCATTTTGCGGACCATCCTTAGTTTGGGTCAATCAATTGGATGGGAAGGATAGCGGCGACTTCATACCATCAGAGTTGAGGCGCCAGAAACCACCCAATGGAGAGGGCCGCACACTTGATCTCAAAGATTCTTCAAAATGTTTGTCTCCACATGCGTTTGTTTGAATAGCAATAACAAACAGTCAGTGTCACAACTTTTCCGAGACCAGCCAACCGCGTTTCCTAGCTAATCGGGCGGCCCCAGGCGGAGTTTTGTTTCGCCCCTCCACGTTTTGAGACACGCCAATTGCCGTGGAACTTGGCGAAGAAGCAATGCCCTACTATCTTGTAACTGTGGATAGCCGCCTGAGTTTACCACTAAGCTGTCATCCCAGTTTCTCAGAAACTGATTTTGAACATGATCTTCCTCTACTGCCTTCAGTGCAACGATGTGCAATGCATGAAGGGTGTGTGCTCAGCGAACGCCCTCCCAAACATAGTTGATTAATCCGATGTTTCTGTATTCGCTGATGGATGCCAACTACAACCCTGAAGTAGAGACAGATTGTAGATGAATATGAGAAAATCCAACAGTGGCAGAGGAGAGGGGCACTGCTTTATATTGTGTGTTAATGTGTTACATTTACTCTATTTCACTTTCTGTTATACTGTTCAGGATCATACCGCATTATGCACATGTGCATGTATGAATCCATGCCACAGGGTTTCAAACAAACAGGACACCCCACACTTAAGATGATGATTTAAACACAGAAAAACACAAACAATGTAATGCAAAACCAAGTCTTACCCGAGCATGTGATAGAGATTCTGGGAGTATTCCCCAAGCACTTGGTACATCTCGGTCTCACTTTACTACGTAAATTAGCTTCGACTTCGGGCACCGGCGTATTTCTGTCACGTCGCAGGTGAAGTATGTGGAGAAGAAGGTCCCAAAACAAGTGATTCAGTACGTGGAAAGAACCGTGGAAGTGCCACAGGCGCGCGTTTGCGAGCTGCGTGCTCTCTTGGGCCGCCTTTGAAGAGTGGTCAGAGTGGTGTGAGATCGGTTTAGTCCGGTTTCGGAAGGTGGCTCCGGAGATTTGGGAAATTGACAGTTGGTTCGCTGGATGGGCAGTTAGTCCATCGACCTCTCGCAGGTTGTTGCTTTCCTTAGAGGAACCCTCTTGCTCAGGTTGAGCAATCAACAATCCTTTCTTGTGGTGGTGTGGTCAACAAGTCTGCACGAGAGTCGGTTGCTTGTTTGGAAGGCCTTTGGCAGATTAGAGGGAACGCTCACATCCAACCCATTACTTGGTTGGCAGTTTCGTTGCTTTTTTGTGTTTTTTTGTTTTCTGGGGTTCAAAGTATCTCATTCACCACATCTGTAATCAAGCCGCTCAATTCAATAGGTTTCTGGACTCTCTTTGTTATATATTTGTATATGTTTACAGCATATTGTTCAGGGAGGCACTGGTGACCGGTGTAAACATACCCTTTGGATTCTGAAGGTATTCTGCATGAATTTCCCATCCACCGAACTATATGGAAGAGGTCACACCTCCTTTCCCTTCGGTGACCCGTTCGATCCAGACCGGGAGCCGTCTCTGATCGTGCGGCGCGTGGCTCGCAGGTGATCTACGAGGAAGTCATCGTGGAAGTCCCTGAAGTCGAAGTGAAGGAACTGGTGAGGCAAGTGCCGGTGCCCGTGGTGCAGTACATCGAGCCACTCGACACGACGGAATGCGGAGGGAGAACACGGAGGGAGAACGCGGGAGGGTCGTGTTTTTGCAGCTGCCTGGGGGAAGGGGAGGTGGTTTTTTGGAGGGAGGTAGTGCACAAGGATGGGTGCGGAATCCAGGAAGGAAGTGGCCACCAAGATGTTTTACTCACCAAGCTTCTCACCCAATTTCCCAATACTACGACAGGGAAGCAGATGCACCTAGAAGTGTTCCAAAACCGTAGAAGATTGGTCGTTTGATGGTTCCTTTGCAGCCAGGAGCAAACCTGAGGGCTTGGCACATCTATTTGCAAGTTTGTTTTGGTCATCAGAAATTAAGATCCACTTTGCCCATCAATCGCTTCCATGGATTTTGTGAGAGAGAAGCACAGATGTGAAATAATTACATACTAGCAACTCTAGACGAGTTTGAAAGACGTCCTAATCAAATCCTATTCTCAAAAACTCACTTGGATCCTGAAATTGGACCCTGCCACATGTTTCTCCCAACAAACCAGTGGTAGACAGACAGGGTCCATGTGGCCAGTGACATCGTGACATCGTGACGTTTCCCAGGAAGCCGATCCCCAAGCGAAGCCTTCGTGCGGTGGAGAAGGTGGTGCACGTGCCGCAGGTTTTGCATGAGGAGCAGGTTGTGGAGGTGCCACAAGCCATGGGACTCTTGGCTTCCTTCAATTGGAAGTTCGAGGGTTTGATGGGCATGGGTGGGGGTCTGATGTGGCTGATGTGCTCAGCCGCCGGTGATATCGGATATGCGAGGATGACGACCAGATGGGCACTTTCACCCATAGCAGAACAGATCGAAGTCCAGCAAACGAGAGACCAGTGAGTGGACTTCCTTCCATCCAATTTGTTGCATTCCCTGTGGGGTGCTGCTTGATGATTTTATTATGTTATCATTTGGATTCCCAAGTTTAATGTTCAGGAATTGATGCATTGTTTGTTACAGGTCATTGATCAAACAGTCCAGCTGACGGCAGCTAATGATGGATCAATGAAATATATCAATAGCCAAGACTATAGGGATTTTGATATCTCAAAGGAGTGTCAGCTGTATTTGCCAGGTCTTAGGTCACAACAGGTGAAACTTAGTAGGATTTTGGGCAATCACTCGAGTTCTGGATATTCTCGATAAACAAGTGAACGCTCTCCACTGACTTGTTGACCCATGTGGGTAACCCCTACACATAGGACTCTACATGTTGATTAGATGTTCATGTACCACTAGGGTATACAAGGTTCTTTCGTTCTGGCCAGAAATATTGGTTTGTTGGAGCTCCTTAAAGCACGGCAGAGCCACCAGATGCAAAGGGGCAGAAGATATCACCAACCTTCAAGCAAAGCAGAAATGAGAACTTGAATTGCTTTTTCTCTCGAACGCAACAACAGCTAGCAATGCTATGGCCTGGAAAAGGATGGAAAAGGTATCCTGTTGGGAACTCGATCTCACCTTGTCTTCTCACGAACAATCTGCCGTTTTTATTCGTCGCATGGGTCGCATGCATCGCTTGCGGCATGACTGGCCGCCCGAGGAGTCGAGGTTTGTGTCCAGGTGCCCAAGGCGCACTACACAGAGGCGCCAGAGTCTGGGGCCGTGAATGTGGGTATAACATGGTATAACTGTGTGTACACATAATTGTGTATACAACATAGATGCGTGATGATGTGCGCAACAAGCATGGTGCGCTTCGATGTGTGGTATTATTTTTTCATCTGACAGGGTCCTCCAAATCACCCAATGGCCGTCGTTGCGGAGGAGTGTCGGTGTCGTTCGCTTGTTCGCCGCGGTCGGCTCAGGTGCCCAAGGAGTTCCCGAAGGTCGTCTTGGAGCCGCGAGAAGTGGCCGTCGAGGTGCCGGTGCTCGTTCGTGAGGAGCGCCCCGTGGAGGTGCCTCAAGTGCCACTGGGCTAGCAATACTATACAATCGTTAATGGTAATAATATGTATATAATAATATATAATATCTATATTGTTATATATATATAGAAATAAACCTATTAATTATTAAATTATACATGGTGTGGCTGGTGGTTTCAGTAGTGTCTAACATATATATGTATAAACCTGAGATGATGGATTCAACGGACGAATCATGTTTGTACGTGTTCGAAATGACCCAGAGACCCCGAAAGTTCGCCGGGCTCTGTTTGTCCAACATCCGACGTGGGTGACCTCATCAGAAAGCGGACTTCTGGGACCTGGGAAAATGATGGAAATAAAGATGGGCCTTGCCCTGCCTCTTTTGGCACCCCCTGACTGGTCTCACCTCGATCGAGGCAAGCTGTGCAATTGGTCCGACAGCGGCTCTGCCCAACCTCGCAGACGGTGGATAAGCCCGTTCCCTTCATCCAGACGCAAGTGAAGGAAAAGCAGGTCCAGGCAGATCACATGACGGGTGCACTGGTTGGCCCCGGGTGGGCTGGTGCTTTTGGTGACGGGTGTGACGTTTGTCGTCATCTCCCCGCATGGATTTCTTCACGATGATGGCTGACTCGTCCAGTTTACCCAGTCATCAAGCAAGACCTTTTGATGACAGCGTAGCAGGTTGGTCTTCGACATCGTTGGAAGCCCCCCGTTCGAAAGCTCATGGGGACCCGCTCATGGATATATAGCCCTTTAAAAGGCTGTTCTGAACATACGCTTACAATACATTCTTTTCAATGCCCGGCATGGTTTCACGAGGTGCCAGTGCTTCTGCAAGAGGAGGCCATCACTGAAGTTCCACAGCAGCTCAATCCCAGTTGGCTTGGCATTCAGAGGTTTGGTCATGAGCTTAACACACTTGCTGGAAGACTTCAACCAGGTGCGATTCTATAGTTGTTCAAATGGCTTGGTCGAAATGGACATGTTCTTTTGCTTCGCAGACCTCACATCCTCAATTGAACAGCCGGTGGGTCAAACATGGTCAAAACATGGCCCCAGTTGGGCGTTCCTTCAGGCCCAAGGGGCGATTGTAGTGGAAAGAGTTTAGATGGCCCATGCACTAAATAACTATTCCAAGGGCCCCCATGGGTTCCTGGAATAATTTTTGCAGAATAATTTTGGCGAAATAATTTTAAGGGGGAGCGGGGTGGAGGGGCCCTTCAACGTTGTCGTGAATAATTTTCCAGGCAGATCACATGGCTTGTTCAAATTCATTTGTGTTCCTGAACAGCGAAAATGAACCATGGATAGAATCCAGTAGCAAAAAGAAGTACAAAACCATCTCCAAAGAAGAATCAGCAGGAAGAATCTTTTTGAACAGGGCTTCGCGTTGCTGGTCAAGCTTTCTTGGGTGTTCCAATTCTCCAATGCCTGGGGTGCTTTGTTGGTGGCTGGCTCTGTTTGCTTTTCCTTGTTCCTGACCTCAGCCTTTGGTCTCCCACTCAGATTCCTGGGAATGGTGCCTGGCCAATACTAATAATAGAATGTAATAATAAGTAGTAGAGTGAGCCTTTGTTTGGGGAAAGCTTCAAATTTATCTAGACGTTTGTCAGGTGAAGGTCATGTAGATATCAAAAAATTACAATCAAAAAACTGCGATCACCGACTTCGCTCAAAATTATTGAAAAATCACCCGTGCAGTGAGCCGTGAGCCTTTGTTTGGGAAAGCTCGAAATTTATCTAAACCTATGTCAAGTCTAGGTCAAAAAGATCCTGAAGAAAATCACCAGCAAAAAACTATTCTCACAAACCTCGCTCAAAATATATATTGAAAAATTACCTGTACAATGATCCTCTGTTTTACAGAAGCTTGAAATTTGTCTGAACCTCCTGTCAAGTCAAAATCCTGTAGATACCACAAATCATGAAGCAAAAACAGTAGCATCACAGAGCTTGCTCAAAATCCCATCAGTGTCTTAAACTTTTGCGTGCACCTTGTGGAAAGTATTCCAGCCATGGTTTGACATCTGGAATAATTATTGGAAATCGATGTCAAAGGGGTCTGGAATAGAAAAACATATTCCAGGGTATAGTGACGGGGGGCCCTAGCTAAGGCAGAGGCCATGTTTTTAGATGTACACTCCCTGGAACTAACATGGAAGTGGAGAATGGTCCCTTGGAAGACGACTACAAACAGATGGTTTTCCACTTCCATGTTAGTTCCAGGGAGAGTACCCCCCGGAAGAATCACATTGACCCCCCAAAACCGGTTGTAAGGCGGTCCTCCATGGGTCACGTCTCAGGGGGGGTGTTGCCAGCTTTCCACAGAGAGACTCAGAGCATGACTTCGCCACTTGGCCACTTCTTCATGAGACTTCACTGAAAGGGGCTCTTGGGGTCGACGATCGGGCGTTCCATGTTAGATCTGAACCGCTGCCCGCTGTTGGGTTTGCTTGCTGAAAGCGGCAAGACAATCAGAAACGATTTGTTGCCGAACTTGAAACAAATTCACACATGCGCACACATGGCCAGGTACACTGGTTTGTGTCTATACATGTGTCTACTTGTTGCTCAGAGAGTTCACCAACAAACATCTTTGTTATCGTGACTGTTCAATCAAAACTGCATCGGCCAGCAAACGGTACGCATATTTGGCACCATGGACATCTCGCTGCTTTTCAAGGCAGTGATGTGTTTGAAACTGCAAGTTTCCCCAACTGCTATGCTTTACAAAACTATGCAGCGCTGCCAAACAGCACCTTTGACGAGAAATCGCATCGAGGCAGCAAGTGGTGGAAATCAAGCGCGAGGATTTGCAGCCCATCGCGGAGGAGGTGGTGAAGAAGGTCCCACGCCGCATGGTGAAGAATTGCGCGCACTTCGTTGTTTGGGCGGAGATGGTTTTTGGATATGCAACTGACTCTGACCAATGTTGACTGTTGGTAAGTCATTGAGTAACTGCACTCCTGCCAGCACACTTCTCCCAGCAAACGTTGCCCTTGCAAGAGTTCTTTTTTTTCCCCAAACAGTGTGGACACACTATAAGGAGTTCTTACGGTAATGGTTAAGCAGCTGTGCTTAGATCGCTGGGGCACGTGGCCGTGAACGGCTAATTCGTTGCTATTTACAGTACATTCATGCCTCTCTCAATCGTCGACGTGCATTTCGACTGCGCAGTCTCGCGAAATCTGGGTGGCTGGAGCGCTCTCGTTGTGGCGCCGTGCGCATGTTCGCACATGGTTGTCACTTTTCGTGGCAGGCGCAAGGGAAACCTCGTGTTTTGGTGGTCCAACGTCGGCTTTTCGTGACAGGTGCAATGGGATCGGAGTGGGCTTACTTCGAAGTGCAGATTTCGTTGCAGGCACAGCACTTTGGACGTGGTGGTGACCGTCGAGGCGCTCTGATTTCGTGACAGGTGCAGTGAATCGTGACTTTGGGACATGTGGCTTGTTTGCCGACTTCGTGGCAGGCGCAGCACTTGGTGACCCTCGAAGTGCAGATTTCGAGGCAGGCACAGCACTGGGTGAACCTCGAATTTGTACTCTGAGGTTCTCACTCTCTCATTCCTACTCTCCCCCACTCTCACTATCGCTCTGACATGCTCTGACTGTCTCACTCTCATTCACATTCATAACGCCCACACCCACTCTCATTCACATGCATTCTCACTCTCACTCACGCTCACACTCACTCACCGTGCTCTGTCTACTGTGCTCTTAGATGTGTACTCTTTAGACCGCAAACCACTTCTGAAACTCTAGTTGCTATGTATACTCACACTCGCACTCACACTCACGCATTCGCACTCACACTCACTCACGCAATCACTCTCACTCTCACACTCACACCCACTCTCACTCTCTCACCCTCTCACTCTCAATAAAAGGGCCTTTGCCCCAAATTTCTATTCACTTCGTTCGCTAAGCAACTCTCACCTAGCCTATCGGCTGGCTTTCATGATTTACACGAGCTGCAAATTGTGTAGGCAAGTTGCCAGTCGCAGTCCCAACCATGCAGGAGGCTCCGAGGCTTGAGTTACTAAGGCGTCGAAAGTTAAGGTGGCATATGCCATCTCTGCTTCTGTTGCCATCTGCGCTCTCACTATGCCAATCTCTGTTGCCACCTCTACTTGGTACAATGGCAAGAATGAGAACCATGAGGTGCGTGCACGCTGTCCAATAGCTAGGGGAACGGAATCACGCAGCTGATCACTATGTAACTCGGAAGTTTCCCAGTGGAACTCTGGAAGTCAATATCCGTAACTCGGAAATTTCTTAATTCTAAGGGCTTGGTGATTGCACGTGTAATTTTTTGTGTATGTGTATATTTGCATTTGAAAACATGTATCCACATAACACGAAAGAGGCGATGCAGGTGTGTGAACAAACAAAGACATCAGATTCGAGTCGAGAGTTGTTTTTTGGGTGGTTTGTTCATGCAAAAACGCAGCAAATTGTTTTGTTGTTGTATATTTTGGTTTACGTTTTTTTTCCCGGTACCATTTTTCCACTTGTGAGCTTTTACCAGTCAGCAATCTTCGTTGCGCGTTCCTTGGGAAAAGGCGGGTGTTACCAAAACAGGAATACATGAAACACAACAAAAAAACAACACACATGCAAAACGATTTACTTTGTTTTACCTGTTGTTTTGCGTCTGCAGTAGTTTTGTTTATATATATATATATGTATATGAGTTCTGTGTTTCTATAACTGCCGTGTTTGTCTCAATTGTAGAACTGCAATTTCCACGCGGAGAACGGTGCCATCCTTGGCTCAAACTATCTTGTGATATTGTATTTGTTCCTGGATAATGATGATCATCGTACCTTGCATCTTCGGAGTGGGCTTATTCGCACGTGAGAGCCATGATGTCACATGCATGCTGCACATGGAGGAATGTCAAAACTAAACCAAGTAAACCGTGTCTCATCAAGTTCCCAATGCCTCATTTTGGAAGATATGGCTCTCCTTTTCCAGCCTCACCATTTTTTGCACATTCCAGCAGTGAACCACTTCTCGCTGAGGATATGAAGTGACGTATGTGGAAAAAGTCGTGGAGGTTCAGTCCCAGGTGGCCCAGGAAACTTCGCCTTCGCGGTCTCCACCCGGGCGAACGGGCTCAGTGGTAGAGGTGTCAACGATCTCCACTCAGAAGCCTGGAAGAGTTCAACGTTGCGTGATCACCTTGCATTCCTATGCCAGGTGGCATCATCCTGTTCATTGATCTACTTACTCCAAAAGAAAAGGTGTAATGTGTCGGTTTTATTGTTTGTTGGTTGGCATTCACCCACTGTATATATTATTCACAGTCACTATTGGAAGTCATCGAAACCTGTTGTGACTTCATTCCCGGAAGGCAGATGAACAAAAAATACACAGACACCGAAAACAATGAATTTTGCGCACATACCCATGATACATGATATTTCCTTTAGTTTCGTGGTATGTATGGATGGAAATACGTGGTGAATAGATCGTGGACTGGCCATGTATGTCCAATGATCTATCAGCTGAGTGGTCAATCTGAAACGGTACCAAGCCGCACCTTGTTTTGTTCTGTAGTACTTCACCAGGAACATCCTGAAACGTGTGTTTTGTTCAATGCAGGAAAGAGGTGAACAGGTTTGTTTGCTCATGGGAACCCACCTGTGCGGCAACATGTTTTTTTCCTCAACAGTATTTGCGTCATCATATCCAAACTGTTCCATCCAAAGCCAATCGTTTCCGGCAGAAACGATTCGGCTCAGGAAAGGTGTCGCCTTGGTCCAAACTTCGGTGGACTTCCCCGCTGAGCCCCTGGGCACCCTGGAGCACTGCCGCAGTTGTGGCCGCGCGCGGGTGGCAGAGAGCCGGTTCTGCACTGGATGTGGCGCCCACTTCTGAGCGGGTTTGCTCCGGGGTTGCAGATGGAAGTGTGTTTGATCTTGTTCCCAAAACGGTTACACATGTGTAATGTCATGATAATTTCAAGGTTGTAGGTGGGAGAATCTCCAAGTCAAAGCTTTTCAACGGAAATAATAGATTGATAATCTGATAGGGGGAACCCTTAAACCAAATTCATAAGGTTTCCCAATGCTTGCTTGACTTTTATGCAAAGGATGTTTGGAGAAGAGGGCTTCTAATAACCTCACTTCAGTGTGCAGGAAAGTTAAACAAGAAATCACAAGTTGGTTCCGGCACCCGGTTCCTTATTTAGTTGGCCCCAACTACCGAGCCAGATACCTTGCTGAATCTTCCCAGATGGATGTACTTCCTAGAAAGATTTCAGGAATTCTCAGATGGAGATGATGTACTATACTCTACTATCATGCTTTTGTTATTCTTTCCAT